TTATGATGTTGATTATATGAGTTTTATATGATTGATAATATTAGGAATAAAAGGTGTATTCAGAAGGTTGTTTTGGGGGGAGACTTTTTGTGGATTGTGAGTTGGGACGTAAGTTGTGATATTATTTGGTGGGCGATTAAATGCTGATTCGTGAGTAAAATTTGCTATGTTAGCGGTTCTATGGAGTGTAGAGAAAAGGATGTTTTGAGGTGGAGGAAGGGCTGAGGGTAGGGGTGGAGTTGATTTATTATTTATCATGTTATTATAGAGGAGTTTTGGAACATTGTAGTTTCATTTTTCGATAATTTCTAAAATATTGACATTTGTCAGTACGGATATCTGCTCAGTGCATCCCTTCGCATTTATACATTTCGGAGGATTGCTTTTGCTGGGGAAATTTACTGAGTAATGATTCTCGGCACAATGTGTGCAAGATATTTGTTTGCAACAATTATTTTTAGTATGTCCAAACTGTAGACAGCGGAGGTACTAAATTGTTCTTTTGTTTTACGTTTTCTTTCAACTTTAACTTGCTAATTTGACTAGCCCGGACAATTAATTCAATCGATTGTTGATTGCTGAAAACTCTGCAGCTACCACTGGGATGGGCTGATTATATTTGTGTAACCTGGTGACACTATTAAGGGAGAAGTATTGCTTTTTCCGGTCGTTATATATTTCCTGATGCGTGATGGAGGGATGAATGTTTTTGAAAACCACGGAAAATGGTATATTGGTTGGGTCTTTATACGTATGAAATCGTTTTTCAGTTTTTACGAAATACTGAATTGCTTTGTCTTCTATATTTTGGAAGTTAACTTTGGCTTTGTTATTGTTATGTCACGGTGAATTGCGCATTGATTTGGGTTTTAATTTCCTTATTGAGTTCAATAATGTTTGTAATATTATCAATGTGGGTGGGAGGGACTCTAATACTTTCAGGAATAACGGGGTCGGGGGCTTTTGCAACATTGTCATCAAGAAGGTCAGCTAGACTGTCGAATCTTATTATTACTCGCGCAACTTTTCTTGAACGATGACCTTGCTTCCCCCTCTCTGGCACAATAAACAGATGAAGGCAAAAGCTCGAAGCGAACACTGATGACAACATTCCGAACACATCTTCCATGGCGCGAAATGGAAACCATTTTCTTTGGAAGACGAGAACTTCTATCGGTTATTTTCTCCAAAAATCTAAAGAAATGTACGGATCTATCACAGGAGATACCTCGAACTCCTGAAAAAGTTAGGACGCAAATTATTGAGAACGTTACGAAGGCGTGACTGATTCTCCAGAGATTGGCATTGCTTCATAAAATCTAGTGGCCGATTTCGTAACTAATACCCCTACTCCACCCGCATTTCTTCAATCCATCGTTCAAGAAAAGTTGCGCGAGTAATATTAGTAGGAACACCGTAATTAGTATCAGAGTTGGTAAGGACTTTTTTAGATTGATTTGGGTTTTGGATAGGATCACTATTTCCACATTTGTCTCTGTTCATTTGGATTGGAACGGAGTTTGCATTCATATTAACACTGCACCTTGAAGAGATTGCACATAATGGCACATAATGACTAACCTGTGTTGGTTGAATATTATTTTGCATATGTGTCTACATATTTATAGCCTGCATTGGATACAATGTCGGTGCTGTGTGATGAAACATCTGCGCTTATTGTGATGGAGTTAATAGATACGCTGGTGCGTATGCGCTGGAATATCTCTACCGTCGCCTTCCACGACCTCCATTTGGCCTTCGGTTGGATATACCAGGGCTAAGGCATCGGCGATGCTCTGGCTTAGGACAGCGTTGTTGAATGTTGTAGAGTCAATCACTTATTAAAGCACTGCACTTAAGATTGAAATTGCGCACTGTGACTTCAACCTTTCGCTTATGCATCTGAACACTACGAAACGTAAACTGCTACTGAGAGTAGCGCTGCGCTCAGAGGTCCGCATAGGTCGACTGCTGGGAGCGGATTGGCGCACTTTCTACTTTCTTGAACCGAGTGCGGCAGGTTGCGACAGCTCGGCGTACCGTTAAGAAAAAAAATGCAATAAATTATCACAACGACTATTTGACATAAAAGAACGTAAACTGTGAAATGAAATTGAACTGTGATGTGAAATGAATTTGAAATGAAATGGCGTAAAGAATGGCTGCGCTCACAACAATAAAATGTCAGTCATTTTGTGGCTTCCATACAGCAGAAAACTGATGATGATGGCTAAGCCATCGAAAGCTTCTATTGTAATAAACACTATTGTTGGCAATGACGGCTCAATAATTATTTTATTATAAATGCGGCGATGATATAACGGTTAGCGTATCAGACTGTTATACCAAAGTTGGCGGGTTCGAACCCGATTGAAGCCGTGGATTTTTAAGGGCGAAAAAAATCCCTCGTACGCCTTCCTTCGGAGGGGAAGTAAAGCCGACTGTCCCATGTTAGTAGATTTACTTGCATGTAAAAGATCCTCAAGCCTTAATGATGCCTCTGAGCCAAATTCAAATCGCCTGTTTCGTCGCCGAAGAAATACCTCCTTTCTTCGGTAGTAGGTGAAAGGAGCGTAGCGAAATTTGCGTGGTCAGACGGAAGAGCGGGCCTGATGGCCCGAGTCTCGCCTCGTAAAATAAGGCACAGTTCAATTAAATGCCAACAAAAACTCACCACAATACCAATAAAATGTCAATTAGATAAAATAGTGTGGAGCGTAGCTGTGCTCACAATAATAAAATTTTCGCGGATGTAAGTTATGCCTCCGGCGATCTGACTTACGCATTTGTCCGTCCGGCCTGAAACTCGTCCGTGTGTCCTCTTTCCTTCCTTCTTCTAGGGCATACACGCCTATAAGTATTAAGTGGCCCCTCTCTTTTTTGAATTTGCATGTCGCAATTCGCTCATTTACAAAGGAATACTCCACTATCCTATTTTTTCACCTCTTGTTAACCATAATTGCTACCCCACTACTTGCCCGTCTATTTTGAGTTACTCCATAGTAGATCATCGTATAATGTTTCATATCTTTTGTACCTTTCAGCTTTTTTTTGGTTTCCGTTATGACAGCTATATCTATTCCTTTTTCGTTTAGTTTGTTATCTAGTTGTTCTTCTTTATTACCTAGCCCTCTGACATTCCAGGTAGCTAGTTTTAGTCGTCCCGTAATACCGAATCGTTTATCCTTGGCATGCTTAAGTCGTTTCCATGATCCATCCAGTTGTGCATTGTGAAGAGAGCCAGTAGTTATTGAATCCCCTGACCGCGTTACGAGCGCTGCGCAGGTTAAGTTTGGTAGTGGGGCTGCCACCTCACAGCTTCCAAACAAGCTGGGTGGTATTTTGGGCCACCGACCCTAGGCGGATTGCCTTTGCTGGGCTAAGAGTTCCGTCTACTCTTTCGAGGACAGTCTCGCCATGTCGAAGCCGGAGATCTATGTCGGAACGTCCTCTGCTTCATTCAGGTCCTCTTCTTTGGGGCCTCTTCTAACGTCGGTGTCCTCTTCTGGACTACTTCTTCGTCAGACCCCTCCCCTTTGACCTATTTTGATCTATTGAAAATTAATTTCAAAGAGTAACTAAACGGTCGGTTAATGGACTTATTTGTAAGTAATTTGAAGCGATACATATAAACTATTGTATGTAGTTATACATAAACATTTTTCTTCTCATCCCCCTTTTCCCTTCCTTAGTATGTACTGTCAAATGAGTATATATGTTTTAAAACCTGAATTGTGAATTATTTTCAAATTGTACATTAGTTGTACATGGAAATAATCCTCATAATTGTTTTTTCTAAGACACTGTTTAGGAATACAATTATTCAAGTTGTGGCAATGGAAGATTGCATTTCATTTAAGCCCTTGCTATAGGGTAATATGAAACAGTTATTTTATTACAGAAATGTTGCAGTAATGTAAAGGGATAATTTCATATTAACTAAATAGCATATATGAAGTGCATATACTTGTGAAAGATGATAATCGTTTTCTGGAAAACAATAGGAATTTTTAAAAAAATTCGTGCAGAAACAATATCTGAGAGTTTACTTTATTTACGTGAATGTTGTTTCATATTAGACATTCAGCATATAAAACTCTTTTAAAATAGCTGATTAGTAGTGTTCATTAGCTAAAAAAAATGATACAGAATTTAACTTTGAAATGACCAAAAAATTAAACACTGCTTACAACACATCTTCTGAGAGAGTATTACATATTACCCCAAATCACGTAAATCCCCAAATTCCCCTGCACAATAATTTTAATTTTCTGTGAAGGAACTTCTGGTATTTGGAGAAGAAAATGTTGTTTTTTCCTTTGAATTCTTAAACAATTAAATTGGTACATTTGGCATACTTCTTCACCACATGCAATCTTTCCCTAATCTTCTTTTTAATTTCCATTTTGAAACTTTCATTGTAAACAAATGAAACCACAACAAAATTAAAATATTATTGTTATTATTGTTATTTTTTAATATTCTACCTGTATCTTGAAATTCTGCTGTTCCTTTTTTGTATTTATGACGGTGTAGAATCATTTGATATAAACATGAAAAATGTAGGAAAGTTCATGTTATTCAATTTCTTGTGAAAAAAAACAATGTACAAATAACGTTATCAGGATGTGATTGTTGAGGTTATTCAGAAACATTATTTCCATTGTACGTGTGTTGTGCAATTAACAGATCAAGAACTAGAAAGTAGACAAGATAAGAGTTTAATGATAAATATCATATAATTTAATGATAGCATTAAATTATGTGCAACGTACGTTAAACTCGCTTATGTTGAAACAAAGCCCAAAGAATGAATCTGGTTATTATACATGTGTTTAAAAGACTCAATTTTATCAATGCTGTCAATTTAAGGAAGTTAAAGCAAAGTATATTCAAAGTTTCATAAATGTTTCATGTAACCCTTGCTGTTTTATACTCGTTTGATGGAATCCTTACTGAAACTTCTAATTAATTTGATGTTCATTGTTTCTATTTTTCAGGAGCATTTTATCTGTTTGCTGGCTTGGCTGGTTTGGGATTATTGCTGTTATTTTTTATGCTCCCTGAAACAAAGGGGAAAACTTTGGAAGAGATGGAGACATTGTTTTCTGGTCCCTGGTGTTCAAGAGGGTCTGCATCACATTCTAAGAATGTTCAGTACGTACACATCAGGGGTTTGAACCGGGACTGTCGTGAAGATGGAGAATATAGTGGGGACAGTGATAGTTAATACACTACGAAATAACAGTTTTCTGTATGCTCTCCCAACCTCTCGGGCTGATAACAACTTTGAATGCAGATTGTCTGAGTGATGTTTTACAGACATAAAATTGACCAAAACAGTTGGGTCCAAACTACATGCATTTTTACAGCATGACCTTATCCAAATTATGAATAATAATTTAATAATCAGGTTGTAAAAGTGCATTTCTAGAAATGTAATGCTATGGTGCTTGGATATTGTGTATAGGGATTATATATATATATATATATTATTTTTTAAGTATATGGATTCTTGTTTTAAAATGTATGAATGTAGGATTGTTTGTATATGTGTGCTGTGGTTCTTGTTGCTAAAGCATGTATTTCGTTACATATTGTTAAATGTTAAAGTAGTTTTTGAATTTCGTAGATTTATAGATTTTTAAACAATTTTTTCTTATACTTCATATTTTCTAGTTTTATTTAAAAAGTCATGAAATTAAGATCTTAAGTATATGGCCCTAGTATGTACTGCATGTTTTGTTGACCCATTGAAGTACACAACTTCTGTTAGTTACTCAGTGATTACGTCTTAATATTTAATTTCCTTTCCTTTTTTTTTTTATAAAGGATTAGTACTATAATGTCAATAATGCTTTTTAAAAATTCTAATCTCTCTGGAGATAGTTAAAATATAAAAGATACCCATAATTTCTTGAAGTATATTGCACTTTTCTCATAGAATTCAATGTGTCATGTGTTCATATCTCAGAATTAGAATTACAAGAACAAACAGCATGTTATTAGAAAGAGAGGCTTAATTGTTGATGCTAGCAAGAAGAGACCATTAAAAATTGAATACTTACACAATTTAATTTCATATTTAGTGTTGTAGGTGAGATTTGTTGATTATGTGGGGGAATAATTCCACATACTATAATTTCAAAGTAACAGAAAACAAGTAGTGAATTTCTCCTGAGTAGGTAAAATAGTTTTCAAAACATTTTATGAAATATTTCTTACGTTGAAGTAACCATATATTTTTATGGAATTGAAGAATATTAGTCCATACTTAATAAAAATTGTAAAATATTTTTTATTCCATTTTGTTAATAATTGCAGAACTTAATTGCTTTCCTTTCTGCTTAGTATAACCTAAATGAATGCCTTACTTTGGCCATGTGTGGAAGTAATCTCAAAATTTGTGTATGTGCTTTTCATAGAGAAGAAGGAGGTTATTAGCTCAATTAAATATTAGTGTTCCTAATTATATGCGTAGATACAAGATAAATGTTGGTAGCTTTTTGTATAATAATAATAAGAAGAAGACTGTTATGTTATTAGGACTTGCTCAGTTGCATAATTTATTTATTACTTTGAATGTGTTTATTAATTTTAACATTCATTGCAGTACATATTCATTTACGTCATGGAATTTAATAAGTGTCAATTTTTGTGCTTTCTGATTCATCTGAAGCTTTGTAGAAATAAATGTGGCACAAAAAAGCATTTATTAACATCAATTCTGTAATTTGGTAAAATTTTTTGTGATAGTGATATATTTTGTGCTATTTGTAGAAAGAATGCTAAAGATTTGCTTCCTATTTCATGGTAGTAAAGTTTAATGTAATAATACATTATTTTACTCACAATTAATAAATAAGAAGTAACACTGAAAGTCAAAAGATAAGGTAAATGTTAATCATGTTTAAAAAAGTGTTTATTTGAGTTTGTTCAATAAGCAACTAACTTTTCTATTCTTATTTAACAGAAATTATTTATTTGGATGTCCATACAAAATATGTTCAGTTTGAGAACTTTTAAATTTTATGTCTAGTACAAACAAAAATCAAAAATTCATAATAATGATCAGTATTACTATATGAAAGTTAATTTAAATGTAATTTAATTTGTTTCTAATATTAATATTTTACAATCATTTTGTTTTGTTCAGTGTATCATCTGTAATGTTTATCTTAATGTTTACAAAAAGAAGAATATTGCAATCATTATAAACAGGGTATCCTACAGTAGAAGAAAAAGTGTCTAGTTGTAGTTTTAATCATTACATTGTTTTCGAGATCTTTTACCAGCATTACTATCATAATCATTCCTGCTATCTTATCAATCAAGTAATCAATCTCAAACCCCATCTTAGCCGCCACCATCATTGATGCCATCACAGTCACTCATTCTTAAGTCGTTTCATTGAAATGTTTTGCTAATTGCCTAATGATTTAACTTATCTTGTATCAGAACAATACCAGCTGTTTTGGGGAACTCAATGGTTGGCCATTCTATTTGAGATTTTGTGAATGTCATATGAACCTGTGCAAGTGCCTTGGCTCAGGTTTTGATAACTTCTGTGAATAATGATAACATTATCCATTAGTTAATTGGTTACTAAATTTTCTGTTAACATATTCTTTCTTGGTTTCTGGTTTGTCAGTGATCCTCTTTTATTCAAATTGTTTAATTTATATTGACAAAGGGCAAATTTCTGGGATTATGCATATCATTTCTAACAATTTGTTGAGATAATGTTATGTTTAAAACTTACTAGTTATCATTTCTAACCATTTGTTGAGATAATGGTATGCTTAAAACTTACTAAATTATCTTTGGAAAAATGTTTCTGAGTAATGTTTTCAATAACAAAGAAAGAAAGAAATTGTTCTGTTATAAAATACGTGTGGATTGTAGATTTATGTTCTGCAATTCGTTCAGTAATGTTTCTGACAGACAAGTTTTCACACTTTCCTTGCTTGATAGATTTAGTTCAAAGTCATAGGATTTATATTTTCATAGTCAGTTCAAAGTCTTGTTTTTCAGATCAATGTAATTCCCAGAGTTTTTTCAGTTTTCTGTAAAGTGGTCACCCAGAGTTCTATAGCAAAAATTATTTTTTATTAGTTTCACTTAATATGTTCCTTCTAATTTTTCTTTCTGAAGCGCTAATCCATGATCTAGTACTTACTCTGAACTTTAAAAATATTTTGTAAGGTACAGTGACCCAAATAACTTAATTTGTTTATTAAACATATTATTTCTCAGATCATCTTTGGTTGTAGGTGGTTAAGTTGTTTATTTTAAATTTTGCAGAGTGCAGTTGCAAACCTTGCAATCACGATTGGAAACAAAATTTCATTTCAATGATCTTATGGTTGAAAAAATTATTTTGTTAGACTAATTACAATAAATCTGTTAGTATTTTTGGATTTCGCTGTGTTGGACCATCTTTCCCTCCTAATCAACATGTAAATGATGGGAGAGTACAAGAATGCAGTATGTGTCTGACAAATCGGTAGTTGCCTTTGTCTCATTAAGGTGACACTAGCAGTGTTAATATTCCTCTGACAAGGGCTGACAATTCCTTTGGAGAGTGCAAGGTTTTCCATCCACAAGAATAAAAGATTGCATCTCTGAGGAGTTCTCCTGGATTATCTTACAAAAGAATTTGTCCAGTCCTTAGGTTGTAGAAATTGAAACAAGTGTTTGTATTCAACAATGTTCTGAATTTGTTACTCATATGTGAAAATGTATGTGATGTTGATTCACATTTCTTTATGCTTATTAGTCAAAAAATTGAAAAGACATTTGTGTTTTATTATGAAAAAAAATAGAAAAAATAATGTGTGTAAACATAGTTTTATTGAAACAGTCTCATGTTTTATACAATGTGTTCATAATGCTCTACTTTTATTCGTTGTATTGAACACACTTTAATGCAAAATTAGAAATACTGTTCTAATATGGTTAAAATAATAATCTTTCTGGGTTGCTATTTCCAATTACTTGTTACTGATTTACTTCCAAAGTTAAGAGTCTCATTATACTTGAAATGACTTCTCCGGAAATATCCTGAGACATTGCTGATCGGTATTTTATCTTTGTAGTGATCTCAACTTAAAGAAAATCCTAGTCAAATACATTGATTTATTTGGAAGATAGCATTTTTCCATGAATTTATCTTCAAATGTCTTATCTTTATTTATGGATGTGACATGAAAGTTCGGGGGAAAAATACTTTTATGCACTAGAAGACAAATGAATTCACAGCATTATCGTATAAGTGATGAGCAAGTAGAGTGTTTCTGTGCACCATATGAACCATTTTGTTTGTTGACAAACCTCTTCAGATGTACTTACACTAGAAACCAGATAAGTTCAGAATCAAGCTCTTCTTTATCATAAATAGCCATCACTTCACAAAGTGAACCCTTGTTGACTTTTGTGAGTTAGTTTTTGTTCCAAGGTCTTTTCCTGAAACACTGGGGAAACATTCTACACATTATATTTGTGTATAGGTTATTCCAGGTGTTTTTAATATCCTCTAATCGGTTATTTCAAGTGTCTTGTAATTAGGATGTCTTATGTTCTAATAATCACAGTTAAGTAGGGACCAACAATAAATCTTTGAAGATGTTTGATGTTGAACTCATCAAAAGAGAAAAATTATTTCTTACAGTTCACAAAATATTCCCTGAAAATTATGGACTTGAATACCTTTGTACATACAGTAAGTACATGTGTAAGAGAATCAAATTCTGTTACAAATTTTTCTATTGTTTCACATTTTTCATGTTCTTATTGTTTTTAATATATTCAATAGAGACCTTTGCGTTACAATGTTCTATTGTTGTAAAGTTGTTGTGGGAAAGGTACTTTCAGACCATGACACATGTATTCTTTGCACCCTTGTTAGAATAAAGAATCTATGTTTAGAGAGTTTTCTTAAAGCAACGACAACTTATTTTTTTATTAAATTTAAATTCCTACTGATTATTTTGCAGTGATAAAAGTCAAAGTTATTACTGCTAAATACTGCTTCTTTCTCACTTTTCAAATGCTGCAAATATTAAGGATTTTGTGGAAATAAATTTTAACTCAGTAGAGATAAATAAGTAATAAAAGTGATAAATAAGTTATAAAATACATAAATTGAAAATTCAGCCAGTCCATTAAGTTGTTTTATTATAAATAAAACAAACCAAAAAAAAACTTCACTAGTCTCTTTTCATTTTCTTGAAATTTCATTTGTCATTCTGACACAAATTTGGAATACATTTTTTTTTATTATTGTATTAGGCTTGCTTTTTAGGTCCATTTTCAATAGTTGATTTGGAAGAGTAGAAAATCTGTTGTTGTTATATTTAGTGTATTCAAAGTAGTATATTTTATGTATATTAATTATTTACGTTATTCAATTCAAACATAGATCGCAAATTTAAGTGAGTTTGTTATTTGATTTAGTTATTGTCTAATAAATTATTATTACAGTATACACATTATTACAGTAATAAACTTAGCCCTGTCTTAAGGCAGCTTGAAATGTGAAATTGTGGTTAAACATTATTGGGAGACTATCCTACACAACCATTGGTGATACAAAATACATGGTAACTTTGTTGTTGCATCTATTTGTACACAATTTATTAGTACACATGATTTGCAACTTGTATTTTGATGTTCTCTGTTGAAAATTCCTTTTAGTTATATGATTTTAAATGATTATTTCAGTGGCAAAAAAGAATATGGATGAAAAAGATATCAAGATATGCATCAGTAAAATGAGCATCAAATGTTACCATACTTTTTGAGTTTGGAGTCTGAAAAGAATAGGAATATAACAACATATTATCTTGTAGATGATTTTCATATGAAATTGACCTTGAATGGACCTTTTTAAGTTTTCTTTAAATATGTTCATCTTTTCAAATACTTTATTTAAATGAGAATATATAATAATTCATCTACAGCTTAAAATATTATTATAAAACATTTCTAATGTGTATTTATTGTGATGATAATGCACATATTCTTATTACTTGGTACTATTCACTATTTCAACAAATTTAAAATATTTAAACTACATGGAAAAGATTAATTTGAGAATATTGCATAAGATCAATTTAATTGTATTACTTATCCCTTCAGCTTTTACAGAAAATGTCTCATTGTATTCCAGATATTCATGATTCATTCTAAAAAGTTTGAAGTGAATGAAATGACCGAAAGTACAAATAATACTTGTGAGCTTTTCTGAAGAATAAAAAGGAAACAAATAAGAAAATTAATAATAATAATAATAATAATAATAATAATAATAATAACAACTACAATAATAATAATAATAATAATAATAATAATAATAATAATAATAACTACAATAATAATAATAACTACAATAATAATAATAATAATAATAATAATAATAATAATAATAATAATAACGATAATGGTGATGATAGTAATTACAATAGTAATAAGAAGAAGAAGAAAAAAGGAAAAGAAGTAGGAAAAGGAGAAGACTACAACAGATAAGAAAAAAGAGACGGATAAGGAGAGGAATAAGGAGACATTGACGGATAAGGATATGGGGATGGAGACGGAAAAGGCAAACAAATAAGGAGGAGATGAATAAATAATAGAAGAAGAGAAGAACATAAAGAGAGGAGTTTTTAATTAATCTATGGCTGAAGGAAAAATTTATACTGTTTGCTTATAAATTGTATTTATTGTGGCAGCGTGAATAATACTTTTGAATTAAAATAAGGAGAAAATAAAGCTGTATGGAAGAAAAAAAATTACAATAAAGTACCACTTGAAGAGACAACACTCATTTTACTGCAGTGAATGTATTGTAATAACGAGAGAATCATATATATTGACCTTGTTGTAAATGCAAGAAATATACTTTTTGAAAAAGCAGATTTCACGGTTCAAAATCTTTAATAACTTATAAATAAATTTAAAAAAAAAAATTTAAAAAAATTGGATAAAAGCACAACTTACTGTACTCGTACAATCTTCATGGAAATACAATTTATTTTCCTCTTTACTTTCATTTATCCATTTGTTTTTATAATTATTCTTAATAAATATGTAAAGTTCAGTTTTTTATGTTTTATAATGTTGCGTAGATCAGGATATTTATTTACAAAATTAGTGTCTTACAAGATTAGTACCACAGTTAGAATTGATTTCAATGATATCATTATCATCATATAGATGAATTGCAGTTAAGTGGGTGTAGGAAATTCCTTTGTGAAAAATTTTATTTGATTTTCATATTTTTTTCCCCAGCTGTTTCATTATATTTTATTTCACAAATTCTATTAAGCAATGTGTACTGTTCAGTGTACTGTTCCATGATAAATTTAAATTACTTATAAACATTGTTTAAAGATTAATTTTCTAAAATTAAGGAATGAAACCTCAAAAATATGTAAAGAGTAACAAAAGAAATGTCACCTATTGAAGTTACAAATGTACTTGAAAATGATGATAATGAAATACACCAAAGATCCATGAATCATACCACAAGATTTTTCAATTATTTAACTGATTAATGTGAGTTTCAGGCCCATTTTTGCAGGATATTTTTAATTTTTTAAAATAAAATAATAAATAAATTTTAATTAATGATTAATAAGTTTAAAATGTACCTATTGTTTATATGATTTTTTTTATCAAAAGTTTTTTGATGAAAAGAAATAACCAAAGTCAATTTCAGAGACACAAATATCTACAATTACTTTTCATCAGGGTTAGGGAAAAAACTGATTTTTCAAATAAAAACCTAGCAAGTGTGCTTTAAATCAGGCTTTTGTTAAAATGAGGATTTTGAAAGAAAGTCTCTTCCTTTAAACCATGTTTTTTGGTTTTAATACTTTTTACACTATCTGACCTTTTAGAATTGAATTTTGATATTAATTGTCTTGAAATAAATGTCATTTTACAGTAGTTTTTTATTTAGTAAGATAATTCTCAAAATCATATTTAGTCTTGACTGTATATTACAAATACAAATAAAATATTTACTTAACAAGTACAATGTATAATATCAGCAATAAATCATGTGGAACATACATCCTGCACATGCACATCACAAGCCGATGTTCAGTCCAATGTGAGTAAAGTGGATTGCAGGTGTGAAGGAAACAAAAGCAGCTGGAAAGAAATTACCTCTCCCATATAGTATTCTATGCTCTGTGACTAAAATTATAATATTTCAACTGGTATCGGGGGGGGGAAAGAAGTGAAAAAGAAACTGCACATGTGACACATCAACATTCAATATGTAAGGAGTAATGTGAATATTAAAAACATCACAGGAATAAGTAATTGTGATTCAAGTATGCCATCAAGTGTTAAAAGCAATGTTTTTAATTGCAATTATTAAATTGATTTTACACTACATTACATTTTTACTAAATACATTTTTATGGAAACATAAATTTGTCATAGTTGAAATGAAGTTTTTTATCAGTATATTAAAGTTCATTAATGATATTTAAATGAGAAGAGGAAATGTTTGAGAAAAGCTAGAAAATGGATAGAAGACATCAAAGAAATGAGTAGATAAGAGAAGATTAATTTTGCATTTAGTTCAGTTGTCAACGTATACTATTTTTTTACAGATAAACTCGCTCTTCAAGGATAATTTTGAATGAATAGTTTTAACATGTTATATTCATTAAACATTTGAGATATTAAAAGCCTCTTTAATTGCTTTCTTTGGATATTAAATAATCATTTCTGTCTTGTTGTTAGTGTATGTAATGTAGTTATTATGCATTTCTTTTTGTGTGTCTATTTTCTTTGAAACTAGTTTACCAATTGACAATTTACATATTAATACCTGAAATTTTTAAATTAATGATATAAACATGTAAATGTATGCCTATCCACATAGAAGTGTGTAATTAATAATTATCTATATTGTTGTGTATGCAAATATATGTGTAAATACGATTTCCAATTAACGATTTTAAAAATTGTTGACTTTATCCTTACTCAAGTTTTGATATTATGTTTTCTCTTATATAATTTGTGGTTTTAGTGTGGGGAATAATTCTGGAAAATATAATTTACATGGATAATTCTAGTGGATTAGAATCATATTGATATGCTAATTGATACAATTTGAGAGTCCATAATCCATAGCAATTTTGTGAAACCTAATAATTCATATTTATTTAGAAGAGTACAGTAGTTTGGTTTTCTAATGTGAAAAGAAATGACATCTTTATATTAATAATGTGTGAATATATCTTAAATATTCTAATCTTATATGCATGTGTGTTTGCTAAAAAAAATTAACAAACTTGCATGCACAAGTATGCTTGCGCAAGTGTGACTTTTTAGTGCCAAACTGTACCGTGAGGTGCTCTAGAGCACTTGCCTTCGTTTTTGAGACTAGACATAACAATCAACTGTGCATTTTGGAATTTAGACAATAAAAAAATTAAATTGAATCAGGTTTTCAGTAGGTTCAACTGACAAGCCTACTGTTCATTTACAAAATCTATATTGGTTTCTTTGACTTACCCATGGGATTCTTAGTTTTCAGCTTCGATGACTATTTCCATTTCTTGTCCTTTCAGTTCATTCTGTGATCATTTTCAAAGAAAATTCATCTTGTGATATTAAAAACAAAGTTGATGATGTGATAATGAAATGTTTTGTATATTTTTAATGAGAAATTATTGAAATGTTGACACAAGTATCAAATTGAATGAAAGTCTGTTAGCTGTAGAAAGTTATATTTTTTATTCAAAATTTTGATTCTGAAGTTATTTTTAGATTTAAAATCCTCTGAATGTCAGTAATTTCATTTGGTAAATATAAATGCTTCATAGTTTTAAATAATTCTTGCTTTTGCTCTCTTTTGATTGGATGGATCTTCCTAGATCATACTTCCCCAGTAGATAACTGAATGAACTTTATTTTGGGCATGTTTGCATAAAGAAAGAATGTTCAAAATGGAGATGAAACTTAATGAATAGTTTTGATATATGAACGCATACTTTTAGATATGCTTAATGAATTGTGCTCTTAGATGTTGTTTTTAATTTTTTCTTTTAAGGTGTTTTTGTAGTGATTGATTTGTATGGCAATAGAAAACCCTATGTCATGTAATGTTTTGATTTTGGAGTGAATTCTATTTCAGTTATAGGTGTGTGGCAGTGGGTGGGGGCTGAGGCCAGAGGAGTCGGATGTTCAGTTACTTTGTTGGTAGTTCTATTCAATCATGTTGCTCGTTTGGTTATGCCCGTTCGATTATTCACATGGGATAAAACATTTCTTGTTATCAAATATCAACAATGGTTGTTGATATCTTTTATTCTTATTTCTCAAAGGATAATTAATATTGAACTGACTTTACTGACTGACTGGAATATTAATTGAACTGACTTTACTTGAGAAACTTAATTTTTGAAGATCATCACATTCAAGAGTATTTTTATTGATTTGTATGTATGGTAGTTTAATAAATTGCCAGTAGTAACTTTTACATGGAAGATGAGCAAACTCCGCCTCTCAAAAAAACTGTTTATTAATGAGATATTCAGTAATGGTTATTGGAAGATAATTTTCAAAATTAATTTGTTCATTAAAATATCTCATTTTAAGTCTCTTTCGTCAATGTCTATAAAAAATTCCGTTTTCTAATTCACTAATATTTTCCATTCTTTCCAGACTTCTCTGTTCCTACTTGAAAAATGGATTTTGAGTTTTCTTCAAAATGTTTTTGGGCCCTTAAATTGAAATAACTAGTGTACTTAAAATTCTTGTATCTAATTTCCTTTGAATTAATATGAATAGTACAGGTATAAACGTTGAGGTAATGATGTTGATTAGTATAATTGATGTGTGTACCTATTTACCTATTTAATATTTATTTTTAAAGGTGGTTGTTGGAAATGAGATCTTGATTTGTGATTGCAGTAGCCTATCTATTGTTTTTCTTGGCAGGAAGGAATTCTGTGGTTGCTCATGATGGAAAAGCAAAGTAAGGAATTGCCGAAGAGTAATGAGATGCTCTTGAAATAACTGCACGTCACTTTCAATCGCTAGCATTTATACTGGATTCACTCGTGGAAAATAATTTATTTCTGGAAATGTGACAAGCGCTTTATCCCCTTTGCGAAAAAAATCATTTGTAACCAAACCCACGGATAGAAACACCAACTCCTGGAAGCAGCCAAATGGCGCTGCCCTCGCGCCCCAAGAGGTTTACTGTGGCGTTTCCAAGAAATGTTTTAAGATTATTTCCGGAAAGGGGACCTTATTCGAATTATTCATTCCACACTATTTCCACAAATTTCTACTTATTTGTAATTATGAGACAGTAATACAGAGACTTTAAGGAATGTTTGACATTTTGTATTAATACATTTTTATATATTTGAAATGATAGTAAAAATTCAGGTAAGCTCGAAGTAAAGGTCGGAGGGGGATGCAATTATCATCTTAGTTTCACTATCGAAAATTAGTACACATTTATTTCACTCGAAACATGTGGCAACATGATACGAATGTGAAACCGATAGTAATGCCCTCTGATGAAAGACCCAACAATTAGGTATAGAAAGAATCGATATGCATGGAAGTGAACCGACCGGAATGATCGTACAAAGTGAATATTATTCGTAGAAATTATAGTCGCCTATTTTGCCTTATTGAGCTTATGTATAGTAAAAAAGTTCGACTTAGTATTAGAAATTTGGAGTGAATTGGCTTGAAAAATAAAATGCATGTTTATGTAGATTTGTGCATGTATACGTTGTTTGGTATGGTAGCAGTGTTTCCAACTAATGACGCGGGCTTTTTGTGTTGTGAAATGTGAATTTTAAATGTCTGTTAATAACTGTTTTGTGATGTGCAGAAAATTTTGTCTGTAAGATTGTAACGTACAATAAATAAAATGTCGCGTGAGTGTTTGCATGTATGCGGTGTTTATTTTTATTTTCCTTTTTTGTTTGTAGGGAAACGTCAAAAGAGAAACCTGCCACAACAGATTTTTAACTGTGTGCTATGAACAGCATTTGTGTTGTTTTGAAAAATATATCTCCCTGAGGACGTTAAAGAATGCTAGCATCATTGGGTAACTTCGAGCCAGTTTCTCTGTGAAACTTACTATAGTTTGAAACAGAGTGGTATAGTATACCATCTTCACAAAAATCTTAAAATAAGAATAATGAAATAAAATCTGTTCCTAACATTCACATGCCACCAAATTTAACATAAATTGATGGGTGTTATCACATGGTGCCAGTATTTGTACTGCCGTACAAACATTAGGTCTTTGTGGCGGTTTATTAATGTACTTCTGATTATAATGAAAAAATAGTAGTATTCATTGATACTTTCATACAGCATACATTATACTCCTATTGGAAATAATTTTATTTGTTTTTACTTCTTTATAAATAAAAAAACAAGTATTCAAAATACACTTACTTGCATTGATCTGGAATTTTTCTTTAATTCATAGTTATCTCTGCGATTGTAGTTTTGTACCTTAAGAGAATTTTGTGAGTATATAAGTGCTTAAGTCAAAGGGATCCTCATTGTAATGAAACAAGGCTTCCTAATTCCCAAGCTAGTGTATTGGATTGTATGTATTATATTGTTATGCTAGAATGTTGACAGTTACCAAAAATATGTTATTTATGATCAGTTATCTCCCATGGTTGATAATTAATTAGATTAAAATAATGTTTTATATCTTAGAAGAGATGGGATTTTCAAAAAATTGAAAAATTTGTTCATTGTTTATTTATTAAGATGTTTATTGAAAGAAAATGGTAATTATAGAACTTAGCATTAGGTATGATAATTTAAACATTCTATCTTGCATTTAAGTTATATCAAAGGTACTTTTTTAAGCAAAAAGCTCTTCTCATTTACAGTTGTGCAAATTACTATTTGTAATGGTATATGTTCTTGTTCCTTTCCTCTGGGTAGCAAAAATAGGTCATTGGAAAATATGCACATATTTTGTCACATAAATAGTAATGTGTGAATTATTTCACACAAAAGTAAATTTCCTTGCTAATGAATTACAATGCAATGAAATGCATTTCTTTTGTTGTCTGTTTTATCATTTCATGATTTTTTTAAATAACTATATGCACATGTTTGTTATTTTCATGCTAATAATTATTTACAATGCATGAAGTAAACAATCTGGTTTTCTATTGCTCAAATTGTAGGAAAATATTTTGATACCTAAAAGTGATTTATTTTCTTATTTTTATTGATGGAAAGAGATGCATCAAATGCAAATATTTAATCGTGTTCAAAGTAGAATGTATAATTGCATTCAACCAATTTTTGAAATTTCTGAATGGAGGGCATTTCTTCTCGAAATTATTAACATTTTACTTTTGCTTCAGACTTGTGAATTTCTTTAAAATGATTATGGCAGTTCATTATTTATCTATTTATACAGAAATTTCAAAAGTAGTGTTGTTTCAATTATTTTTTATGTATTTTAATTAGTTTATGACAACATTTTGAATATTGTATTTGATTAAAAATGTGAACAAAAGTTAATCTGAATTCTTTACATCGACGTGTATATAGAGTATTTGTGAATATGAGACTGAAAAGCACAAGTAATCTTGTTACTCGGTAAAATGTCAATTAGCTTTGCATAGTAGGTTTGTAGTTGTATGTCTACTGGTTGTTGTTAAGTGTGTATGTAGTCTTGATAGTGTTGATATATTTAGTAAATATCTGTCATGTGTACCTCAACACTAAGAATAATTGCTATGAGACTTTGACACTTGCCTCAGTAATGTACAAAAATTGAATTTCCTTATCTCAATTAATAAAAATGTGATGGGATACTGTTATATTGCAAATTTTTCAGTAGCCATTGTTCCCTTTTGTTGTAGATATGGCCTTTAGAAGCGTATTAGATTTTAGTATTCTTAAAAAAATACTGCATTTATACCTTTGTCTATGGTACATAGTGCATGTGCCTTTAATCATGGTGAAAGAGTATTATTCAAGGCAAGCTTTTTGAAATATTCCTTTAGTGTATTTATAATAAATGTTTTGGTTTACGTATGTTTTGTTTGTAAAATTCACATGGTAATAAACTTTCAGTTCACACAAATTATGTGGGAGACTATTATCAACTTATATTTTTGAAAATAATATAATGTTCAGAAAAAAACGTGTTTAAAATTGGGTAGAGATTTCTTGAAAAATTGACAGAGTGTCTGTAAATTGTCTCAATTTTATGTAAGTTAAGATTTTTTAAAATAAAGGCTGTTATTTTCTATTCTATTTTCTCTATTTATTCATTAGTTTCTTTATATAAATTTGTGTATATAAATAATTACATTGAACATTTAGGTACTAATTCTGGTTAGAAAATGGTTCATATGAGGAAAATGCAAGTGATGGAAGATATCATATACATGAATGTACTTGGGTAAGATATTTCCAGCATCCCAGTATTAAACAATATGTAATTAGATATTATGAATTTTGTAAAAATTAGAAGGTCCAAAAAGATCATGTTTTGTAGATTTTGGCGCTGGCGCTTAACTCATGTCGCTGTGGAGTACACAAAACCTAGGTATTAAGGGATGAGAACTTTAAAATAAAGTTATGCCCAATGAAGACTTGCAATGTTGTATTGAGGAATGTGTGTGCTGGCCGCTTTATTTATAACTTAATTTACAAAATTCTAAATTTCCTGTCCTAAAATGGTTTGTGAGCCTCTGGGGGTAATTCTTTCTCTAGCATTAGAACATTTATGGGATGTCATGTTGATGGAGTCTTATAAATTGTATAAAACCATCATCTTGTTGTACTTTAGTATGTTTATATGTATTATAAGCAGTGCTCATTTTATACAAATTTTAGGTCCTGGAACACCCCCCAAATTAATTTCTAATTAATTCTAGAAATAGTTATATAATTTATTAAATATAAATTACAGTTAATAGTAATAGTAAATAAAAAAATTAAGAGCTTATAATAAAGTTTTATTTTTTTACTGATAATTTTATTACATTTTTACAAATGATACAGTTAAATGAAAAACTATTAAATTTGGAGTTTACTAAAACTGGTCAAACTAAAAATTGATTTTTTCCCTATTTCATTCCTGAGGTCCTAGAATGCTGTTCTGTTGTGTTCTGACAGAAATCAAGCCCTGATTACAAGTAATACTGCCCCTTGGGTGGGTCATGGGCTGTGTACTAGCTTTCTGTGGGCAGTCCTGGATCCGATTCACAGCTGAGGTAAAAGTGAAGCTGTAACTTTCTATTACAAATTGTCTCTGTACAACTGTGTGATGAAAGAAAGCTCAGACTGGCCAAGTAAACTAGGAACAGTGATGGGAATATGACACGTTTGACAGAGATCTCCCATTCCCCTTAGCATCTGTAATAAATAAAAACAGGGACCAGGCCTGGGGACATTGCAACGAGCTGGCAAAAATCAGATTAATCTGTTCTTAAATGCCAAATAAATTCATATCTACATTAGTTATACTGTAGTCAATTGTTTTTAGACAGGGATAGTCACTCTGAAATAGGATGCGTAATGTATTTGGCAACTAATTAATTGAATATATGAATGTAAAATAATGAACTAAGCTGAAAATAAAAAATTGTTAATGTAATATAAGGTCAGTAAATTGCAATTAAATGTATATCTTTGTCACCATCTACTAGTTGATAGAAGACAAAAAATTCAATTAGTCACTTGAAATAAAAAATAGCGCGAAATACAAATGCTAACTTAAAATGCATTGCAAAAATGAATGCCAATTTTTTTAATGGAATAGAAAGTGAGATGAGGGGATTAATGCTTTGGAGAAAGATAATTTTAGGAGATAAAAAATTGAGAGGAAAGAGAATTTAAATGTAATTGCAAGAAATATTATGAATCAACATACAGCAGCTCCTCAGGTACTACAATAAGCTAATGTGAAAAATGCAGAAAATATGTGAGTTCTTAAAGGAGATTTCGGTGCAAAAATGGAAAAAATTCGAATTTAATGCAAGCTTAGAAGAGGAAAAATTAAAGTGCAAATTGACGAAAGTGGAAATGGTTATTTAAATGGAATATTAGCAATTCAATCAAGAAGCATACAAGTTTGGAAAGAAATAAAAGATAAAAAAATTATGTTTTTTAAATTGGAAGGATAACATGAAGAATTTAATGATTATATAAAAATTTGGAAAAATGATAAAAATAAAACAAGGTCCAGAATGAAAAATGTTAAAGCTGAAGTTAAATTACAAATTGAAAGTCAGTAGAAATGGAGGGTCAGTCTCCAAAGAAAAAGAATATAGAAAAGAAAATATAAAATGTGGTTCTACTGGACATATTTTAAATTTTTGTAGAAAGGTTTGAAATGTTTCAAATAAAAATTGGGACAAGGCATCAAAATGTCAAAATTCAAAAAACATAATTAAAAAAATGTAAATAATAAATTATAATAAAAAATAATAAGTTGCATAATAAGTAGTATATTGGAGAAAATTATCATAGAAGTTTTTATAATTTAGGGAAGGAACAGACTTGTCAGACAAATAGCCACTCAAATGGCTAGTTGTGATGAGGATTGTTGAACAATCTTAATGGATGAAAAAGGAGCAACAATCAATTCTATTGGCATTGGTCACATTGGAAAGTGAAAAAGAAATGATGAAAACATGTTATTTAAGCATGTTCTCCAGGTTCGTATATTGAATGAAAATTTATTATCTGTGGTAAAAGTTGGATTCAATGAATGTACTATTGCTTTAAAAAAGAATAAAGCAGAAAAAAAAGCAGGATTTAAAGATAATGAACTAAAAATAAGTTAATTGTCCAAGGCAGACCAAAGCAGACCTTTGTGTAGAATCAAGAGTATAATCTAAGATTAATGATGAATTGAGATCACGGAGATTAGGTCATATTAATTATGACTTTGAAATCTACGGAACTTAATATGGGAGTTTATGTATTAGAAAATATAAGTAAGTACATCAAGAAAAGGATGTCCTTTAGGGAAATTTACTGGAAATGGGTATAAAATTATAAGATTTTTAGTCTAAACACGAACTAGATTGATAGCATTGGTCCTTTAGACAAATCAGTGAGTGGTGATTGTTATTTTGTTTCTGTTATAGATTGTGGTAATAATTTTATTTTTGTAAGTGAATTCAGAAGTAAGTGAAATAACAAACATTTTAATGAACTTAATATAAGAGATGAAAAACAGAAGGAAAAAATAATCAAAAGCATAAAAAGGGACATTTGTGGAGATGATTCATTGGTGATGATTAAGAGAATGGTTAATGCTAGTAAAGTATAAAACATGTACTGACAAGACCATAATCACAAGACAGTAATGCAAAAGTTGAAAAATGTATGGAACAATTATACACACAGCAGGAATGTGATGAATAGTTGAAAAATACTATGTAAAATTACTACTTCGTAAAACATTTGAAATGACATGATTAAGTCACATTTCAATAACTATGGCAGAGGATACTTTAGCCATAGGAGATTTCTTGACAGACATGATTCACGAAAAAATTTAGAAATAAAACAAAAATTTCTTTAGAATAAGATAACTTGAGATTTTAATTCTTCTTTACATAGTTTTTGTGCATTTTGAGGAAAAATCTTTTTTCCCTTTCTTCAGGCATTTTAGAAAACAAAGATAATAAAAAATTCAAATAAACAACAGCCTGTGCTTAAGCACTTTCATCAAGTTGGTCGCTTAAAGCTGTTCAAACAGTTGTCACCAAATGGAAGAAACAATGTTTCTTGTTGGAACAATATGTTTTTTAAAATGCCTGAAGATGGGGAAAAAAAGATAAATCTTTGAAACATTGCACAAAAAGTATATAAAGAGAAAAAAATAAAAACTTCAAGTTATCTTATTTTTAAGAAATTTTTATTTCATTTCCAAATATTTTTGTGAATTGATCTGTCGAAAAAATTCCTGTGTCTAAAGTATCTTTCAACAGACAGCTACTCATATTAGGAATAGAAGCACTTCTAAGAATAATATAATTACTTCCTGTCATGGAAGAAAATCTTATATTAAATACAAGGAAATATTTGCACGTAAAAGAATTAACTGAAGAAAGAAAGGTTGGATTGAAAAGCTGAAAAGGGTGTGATGATGGGATATTGCATGAATTGAATAGATTACAAAATATATGAACTCAAAAATAAAGAGATTAGTGAATCAAGAGTTGTTAAATTTAATGAAAATTAATTAGCTTCTTATATGTTTATGACAAAAAAAATAAACATTGACGAATGTATATTTAACATCTTTAATCATGAAGCTTCATATCTTTGTGAAGAAATAGAAGATGAAGATCATGACAGTGAAATTGAAGACCAATGGTTCAAAAGAACAAGTTATAATAGGTAAAAGCTAAGATGTACAAGAGAATTGATTTTTCAAGAACAACTTGCAAAAAAAAACAATGTGTTAACGTGTCAAAACATTAATGTTAAGACCAGAAAGATAGAAGAATAAAAGCTATCAACAGGTAAACAAAGCAAAAGAGATTAATATTACCAAACATTTTTAAGACATTATTAATTTTAAAGAGAAAGCTGAATGGTTTGCTCCCATGAATAATGCAATGACAAGAATGGAAAAACTTCAAGTTTGGGAGTTGGTCAATAGTAATGTAATAATAAAAAGAAACCTGTCAAAAGAAAGTGGATATTTCCTTTAAATAAGAATTTAAAAGGTGGTGTAATAGTTATTTATAATAATAGCACCAATAACGTTATAAGTTTTCTAATGATCAAGCGGGGACAATAAGCCCAAGGGATGTTAGAAGATAACTTGAGTCAGATTGACTTTGCATGTTTCTGTTCTATAATTCCCTTTCATAATTCCCACCATAAGAGAACATGTAGCAACATTCAACTGTTTTTATATTTCCCTCGTAGCCATGATCCTTTCGATCCAGGTAAGATATGAACTGTATATCAAGCTCCACATCAATAGCACTAATAAGCAATAACCTATCAGTAAAAAATAAATAAATTTAAAGTTAGATTAGTTGCCACTGGTTATGATAAAAAATATGAAGAAGATTATTTTGAAGCTTTCCCTGGCCATAAAACCAGAAACAATAAGAATTTCATTGAAAACTGCTATAATGGAAATTATAAGTTCAAAACAAAAGGATGTGAAGTGGAGCATTGTTTCTGTTGACTTAGATGATGAAATTTATTTCAAACACTTGGTTTAGTTGAAGACAAAAATTAAATAAATTTGTTAAAAAAGGAATAGGTTTAAAGCAGGCAAGTAGAATATAGAATTATAAAGATACAGAGATTTTATTAGAGAATGGTATTATACAATGAAAAAATTAATTCCTGTTAACTGTTAAATGAGCAGAGATGTACTGAGGTTTGATTATGGAAAGAAGACTGGAGGAGAGATAATTGCGTGATTGAAAGGAAAAGAGATTAAATTTTATGCCTCCAATCAAGCGCTCGGGGAGACTCCCCCCACCCCATCACATAGTCTCTGAATATGAGGTAATGATTTTATAATGTTATTGTTGATGATTTTATACTGTATTGGAACAGTGGTGATTTGGGGTTACACTTTTTGAATACTATAAATGAAAATCTAGACTTAATAGATTTGGGAAAAGCAAACATCTTCTAGGTATGGATAGTAATAGAATGGAATTATCGGAAATTACATAAATCAAGAAACTTATATTAAAGATATTTTAGATAAATGTGGAATGAAAGATTGTAATTCAGGTAAAAACACTTTTAAGTAGAAAATGTGATCAATTTGAAAACTGTAAGTAAGTGTGTATACTTTTTTTATCAAGAGTATTTTGAAGATTGATTTATGCCTATCAGATCGAGTCCAAATATTAGTTTTGCAGTGAGCAGTTAAAGCAGGTATAATAGAAATCCTAACGAAATTTATCTGAATATATTAAAAATAATATTAAATATTGGATTGAAACTGTAGTTGAACATTTATTAAAAGAAACTAAAATGAATTATTTCAAAGCTTTTACAGGGGCAAGCTGGAATGAAACATATTTTTTTACTGGATATACTGTGGAGATTGGAAGTAAATTATTAAATTGGAATAACAAAATAGTCTTCAGTCACATTATCTACAGTGGATAGTGAATTAGAAGCATGATGTCAAGGTGTTTAAGATATATGGACAGAAGAAATATTTTCATCAAAGGAAATCATATAATGTTTTTCAAAGAATTAATTGTGATTCGTTTCAGGCTGTAAATATAAATATATTGAATATATTAATATTATGTATTTCAAGGCTTTGGTTTTGTATAAATACGCATATCTAGTTTTATTTAGTTCAAGTTTTATGCAATTTTGCAAATAGAAGAAAAAAGTCGTGTAACCGTGCATACGATATCAGAAGTACTGAATTTGAATCTTGATGTGTGTCACAACATTTTATGCGAAGATTTAGGGAAACGGAAACTTAAGCAAACCTCATCCTTCACTAACAGAGAGATCAAAGGCTAAAGATTTGTGCTCAACTATTGGATAGAGCCAGACTTGATCCCACATTCGTGTTAAAAAATATTGAAGGGGATGAAAGTCGGTACTACCAGTAAGAACCTCACACGAAACGTCGAAGTGCTGAATGGCGTAGTCATGGATCACCAGCCTCGAAAAAAGTGAAACGAGAACCTTCAAGAAGGCAAGGTGATCGAATTCTTTGATAATAAAGGAATCCTGTAGCTTAATCCTCCAGGCCAAACAGTGAACCACACTCTTTACATCGAAGTCTTGAAACGTTTGCGACTAGCAATTTGACATCGCCTCCAGGGGCGGTTCTTTATAAGGTTCATAGGTTCACGCAACACCCCAAAAATTAAACAAACTAGAATAAACACTTCGTTATTACAATCTCATTAATAGCATGACCTTTTCTGATCCTCTTCTTCTAATTTCCATACAAGTATTACATTGATGAACCGATACGTCTTCATGTTTTCGCAACAACACCTAGCTCAGACCTCGTTCCACAAGGACCATTGGGTACCACATGACGTCGCTTTAGAGTTTCCATAGGGCGCTTTCATCGGATCAAGTTCACACTTTCGCCGTGAACTCCGCTTGGCATAGCACTCGTGGCATCGTGCCATATCGGGCTATCGTGTCACCCGACTTGGAGACGAAGTCTCCGTCGCGCCGTTAGTAAAACAATGTCCCCAATACGATACTCCGAAGTTTTGTATCTGATGTGGATGGCGAGAACCGACTTAAAATCTGTGTAGAAATGTTTTACATTTCGGGTTCGAATAATACTTTTGGTTTAATGTCCGTACATCCTTATGTTCAATTATTTCAACCAAGAAGCTTGGTCGGGATCAGCCTGTTCTGAAAATTGAAATAACTGAAATCAGCAAAACAAAAGTTTCATCGACGATTCAATGTTAATATTTGACATACAAGTTACTTATGGGGGGAAAGTGAGGGGAAAATGCACTATTTTGTTTTCCTTGTACCATATTTAGCAATGAAGAAAATGTGTGGACGAAAACCGGTTATAATGACAAGAACCATTTGTGTGAGAAACTTAAAAATCATCAAGAGACACATCTCCATAAAACAGTAATGTTGAACTGTTTTTACTTGAATACTGTGATTTGGCTTAGCGACAGTTATCGTCTCACTGTAAAATGACAAGGGTGTATGCGTAAGAACAGACATATTCTGGACAATTATAAACTGTGTCAAATTTTGTGGCACGCAAGGTCACCTTGCGTTGTGAGGGTACGACGAAAGTGCACAATCGGAAAACCCTGGGATATTTCGAGGGTTAATGGATTTTGTTAGTACCATTGAAGGGGCTTTAAAAATCAGCGTCGAATTCAGTAGAGAACACTGTTGCAAGAAGTGTATAAGAGAAGCAAATTTAGAAATCTAACATGAGCGGTAACCATTATTTCAAGTAATGCTGTAAAATGAAATGTCGAACGAAATTTTTCCAGAAGACTAAACGTCTTCGAATTCTTCTCACTACTGCAATGACTTCTTCGGAAGATGAATCATTTTCAACAGTGACGTGGATAAAAACATTTCATAGAATTATAATGACAACCGAGCGATCGTGCGCCCTCTGAATCCTGTCAAATACTATTAGAATGTATCAGTGAAACCAGTAACTTCAATGGATTAGTTATGGAGAAACCTATTCTCCTGAAAAATAGGCGATTGGATTTTCAATTCAAGAAAAGAAAGTAAGATTAATACAATTTCCTCAATTCTGGATAGATTCCTAATCAATATCTCGTTCCCAATGTTGTCTAATTAAACTATTGTAAAATGGCGACTGTACGTTCAGAAGGGTCAAGTTCAAAAGTAATATAAAGCAATAAATGAGATATTAAAGCATTATTTTTCAAGATGGGTTATTAATATATTACAAATATTAATTTTCTTCGCAAATTCTCTGGTCAGGTCGCAATAGTCAGTAGCATAGTAGACATCGTGCCCCGTCACCGCGCAAAAGCAGTCGCCCAGCATCCACTATCAGTCGTTGCGGACATTGCAAGGAATACGATGAGCCGCGTGGGCCGACCTGCCGCCGGCAACGTGACGCTGACCTCAGCCCGATTTCGGAGCGGCAGCGCGCCTTGCTCTCATGGCGCGTTGTCACACGTGGATGCCGAATTCGAGACATGTTTATTATCAGTTCATGGAATGGAGAATTTTTCGAATCCTTCTGTCTTTTACTTTGAACCTTACCTCTTGTCATTTACTTTGAATGTTCTAAATTGCCAATAAACGAACCAAAACTCCTGAATGGCATTACAGTTATTTGTTGAGTTATGGAAGGTGAAGGGAGGAAGAGAGTCGATGGCATGGGGTTTGCAACTACTGCGGCGCGATGCAAGTGTGGGGCGAGGGTGTGGTGTCGAATGTCGATTTCAGTAGAGGGGAAGGGTGTTGGTTTATGCTTTAATCGAAAAATTTAATAAATATTGCTTTCACGAAAAACAGTTTTAAATTACCACAAGAAATATGGGAATGTATCCCAAAACTTGAATAGCCGCTCTTTGTGAAATATTTGATGATAATTTCTGTAAAGAAATAACCTAAGTCAACTATTACACTCACATTCAATCTCCTCTACAATACATAATTGTGTCCTTCTAAACTATTGAAATATTTTATTTCATACTTTACTTATTACATTGGTTTAGTAATCAATTCAAATCAAAACCTGCAGTGAAATAAAATCAGCGCAATGAAACATGACTTTCACGTCCACTATTTAGGTAGTTTCTCAGTTGAGATCATGCCACAAGGACAAGTCTGTTTTATTACTGCTTTGAAAGTGGAATACCGTAATAGTTATCGTATAATATTCAACTTATTCTTCATACTGAAACCATTCCAGGTATACATCCATGTTTTCATCACAAATGCGTCTTGATAGCTCCGAATTAGTGTATTTGGTTATATTGAGACAACTCCAAAGTCTTATGACGGTGAGTTCGTTTTCCGAATCCAATAAATGATGAAGAAAATCACCAGTAATTGCATGGCAATGGTCTAAAGTCAAATGCGACAGCTTTTTCATTGGATTAACCTAAAACACGACAGAAATGATAAAAATAATTAAGTGATATGAATGATTCATTTCAGCTCCCCATGTGCACTCATTGCATATATCAAATATCAGCCACATTAACGACTACAGTTTTATTTTTTCAAATGCATGCAAACAGATAAACTTACCTCCGTTATTTCAGTAAACAGTTTGTCTGTAAGTACTTCACATCCTTTGAAGAGAAGATTTTGCATATTTGGACAGAAGAGAAGTAGTTGCCGAAACATGTTTGGATTCAAGTCTGCTTGTGGGTCAGACCACAGTTCCAATGCTTGTAGCTCTGTAAACCACTCGTTGCAGATTGGCCCAAAGGACTCATACTGGGCGATATTCGACATTGCTATATTCCTCAGCTTTTTGCACGATCTTCCAATCCCTATGGTAGAAAAAATAAGAAGAGGTCGGTTAAGAGCGCATGCAGTTTGGCGGCGGATTTATTTTCAAGTTCACGTCTAGTCGGTGAACATGGAGGTCGTGCAGTGCGGGCGTCGAGCGGGATGCAGCGGGAGCGGTACCTGCGATGTCGACGGACGTGAAGTTGGCGAGGATGAGGTTGAGCAGGCGCGGCCCGCACGTGGCGAGCACGGGCAGGACGCCGTCGTGGAAGTCGAGCGTGAGGCCCTCGGAGTTGGTGAGCGACAGCGAAGACAGCCTCTCGAAGAGCATGAACTTGTAGAGGTCCTCGCTGGCGAGCCAGGCGTTGGCGAGCGTGACGCTGGTGGCGTCGGGGCAGAGGCGCGTGGCGGCGTCCAGCCCGCTCAGCCGCACCTGCTCCGCCGTGGAGATGAGCGTGGTGAGCGGCAGGTAGGAGGGCGCGGGCGCCGCCTCCTCGCTCAGGCGCACGCTCACGCCGTGAAGCAGCTTCTTCTCCATGGCCGCGTCCCAGCTCTCCAGCCGCTCCAGCACCTGCAAGCGCGCGCCCACTCTGCGGCCGTTGCTGCGGACGGCTTGGTGCCGCCGTCTCGATGCTGCAGTTCCACCGCTTAACTACTGTATTCACGATGTATGCGCGTCAGTTGCGGTCCGTGGGTTGCGAATCAAGAGGGGCGGCATGTAGACCGTACTATCACACGCATTTTACCTATTCAAAATATTCCTAGAACGAGGAAAACTACAGGCTGTAGAGTACAAACCGATTTGCACGCATCGGGATTTTAATCCTTGTCTGAGACAACTTTTACGTTGATAACGGAAGATACAATTGTGCTCACGCAGGAGTAAGAATTTAAAAACAAAATATTTCCAGCAAAGAAAACAGTGCTTTATGAAATCAAACGGTAAGGATCGGTATTCTTAGCCAAGTTAATAGGCGCGGACGCTACCGAACAAAACCCTAATAACAGCACGCTACTCCCACCCAATTTCCAGTACCCCCTACGCGTCCTCAAGCTTGCATTACCTCGCATGCACCAGCTACGAACGGACTCACGATAGTCCACGATACGATCTATTATGAAAACATTTCGTCTTTTGCTTAAGCGGACACCTAAAACTAAATTCGCCCTCAAATATTGCGCTTGTGGTATGCACAAATTAAACGAGTCGATTTATTGAAAGTTTAATACTTTATGCAACTTTTCCCGAGGTTGGTTGTTCTGGAGAGGGCGCCGTCCTAGAGCCCTTAAGGACCGCCGCCACTGATGCGTATGTAACTTCTAACGACCACCGCGACTTGCTTATTTCATTAGATTCACGATTAATACAATCAATAGATCTGTCAAGCAAGAAAAGAAAAGACGAATGTTTTAAATGCTACGGAAACTTGCACGCAGATCCATTGGTACGTTATGAACTGTATCACTGTTATTTTAAAACTTTAACACAAATCTATGCACTTTGAGTGTTAACAGATAATTCTGATCTTCAAATTCACTGCTGTTTGCCTCACTCATTCCTTTTGTCTCACTAAGAAAAGCGGAAACATTGTCAGGAAGAAAATTGAAGCGTGATTGAAAACGCGCATTGGCCAACATATCCAAGAAGTGTTTGCCTGCTTTGAATCATTTGATGATTCGCACCAGTATTTAAACCGAAGTCGGGAAGTTTTTGTGATTTATTATGATACGATTGAATAAAATAGTGGATATGGTGAGACCGTGGTGTTGACAGTTAAGTAAATAAAACGGTTATGATATACAAATTTGTATATCGAAAAAATTAATTCCTAAAAATCGATTGTTTCATACATGATTATAGTTTGATTCATTGTCTACAGATGGCTGTGAAAGCGGATTTCAAATATTTCTTAATTTGCCCAAGAGAGCGCAGCACAAATGAGAATCCCTCCTCACGACCAACCAGAAACCTCCCGCGTGCAGAGGGTTCTGGATGGCGAGTTCAGGGGCAAACCATGCAACGGACAGCCACCCCCGCCGCGTTCCGCAACCGAAAGTGGTCTGCTCCGCCAAGAGCTGTACCTCGAAGATCTGGTCGAAGTCGAATTCGCGCAGGCGTGCCAGGGACTGCAGGACGATGGTGGCGCCCGCGGCCGTGACGAAGGTCTCGGCCACCACCAGGCGCACCAGGCTCTGCGCCTGGCGCTGCCCGTCCTCGCCCACGCACAGTAGCACCAGCCCGCGGTCCGTGATGGGCGTGGCCGTCAGGTTCAGGTCCAGCAGTTGTGGGCAGTTCCGGCCGATGCTCGCCAGCATCTGCAACCCTCGCTCGCATGCTCCTCCGCTTCCCCTCTCGCGGTTACAAGCCATTGAAAAGCTAACTCATTGTCAATCACAAGCAGTGGCAGATTAAATTAAGGTCTCGGTCAGCAGAAAAGAGTTCAGGAGACCTGGGATTTATACCTACGGGAATAGGTGTATATTCAATAATACTGGCTGGTCATAGTCATCTGCTCGCCTCCTCCGATCCCAGCCGCGGAGCAAAGGAAGTGCCCGAGGCGGCGGCGGGGGCACAGTGTTCATTGATGGTACGGAAGTGGGGGAAGAGATTCGTTTGGAAAATCGATAATTGTTTTCTTAAGTGGTAATTATTATTTAGAATTTTTATGATTAAAAACAATGTGTCGAATTTAGAACATACATTAGATCATAAGTCAGAGCAATATTCGACTCTTTTATCATAACCAGTACTGTAATTCCATTTCCATTCTTCTGTTAGATTACATTTTTGAAAAAAAAATTAATTTACAATAATATTTTATACAATTTTATATAATACAACGAATTAGTTCGTTCTGAAACAATAATTAATGTTAACAAATACATGAATAGGTACCTGGTAGGGGTCACGTGAGATAATTGGGACCCCAGGCTTGATTATTTTTGATATTGTTTTGTTTGAGAATGTTGTAAATCCTCGTGATTTACAGTATCTTTTCCATAATCTTCAATCTTCAAATTTACTTTCCAAAAATTACCTTTACTCATCCCGTGATTCGAGGCTATGTCAATGATCAGAATTTACTTTTATCTCGCAGGTTTCTCTGGGTCACAAAACTACGTAATGCAGATTGGACATTTTAACATATTGCAGTTCTTTCGAATACACTAAACACTTCGCCATTTTCCAGTATCGATAAAATGCAATCTTTCTTTCCAAACCGAAAGAAAATTAACGGGTGTAGATTGTTTCCCCCTCATATTGCCTGAAACTCTATGTCAACCTACTGTTCATTAATCGCTTTAAGCACATCGAAAATCGTTGTTTTCAATTGGCTCTTTGTTTGGCGCTTTATGAGGTGACTTTGATCATTCAAAAAATATTAACAAGCTCCAGTGATCTGCAAAATTGCCCATTAGTTTTTTACTTTCTCGCCTTAGGTAGAAGAGAAAGTATTCTAATTTCGCGCCGAAGATAAGTGATATTTTCAACAGAAAAACTCTAATTGAACGGTCTTGGTGGACAAATCTCGTTTTCGAGTAGACCTGGAGAGGTAGCTCAGGACATCAGCTGATGTCACTGCAGTGTTTCAGACGGGAGGTCACAGGTTCGAGTCCCATATATATCAGAATTTTTTTTGACACAGGCTAGATAGTTCGGTGGAATTAAGACGCTGTACGGAGAAGAATTTTAGGGCTGGCTTCTCTGATCGATAGTTTTCCGTGGTTTTTTCGATCAATACCAGGCAAATGCCGGAGCAATACCCCCCCCCAAAAGAAACGGACCGCGCGTGATCTTTCCTTCCTCTTCCTTGTCCTATCTTCACCCTATAATTACACACACACTTACATGCATTACACTACCACATATGTTGGGATACCGGTCGGGAGCTGAGAGATTGTCCCGTTTGCGGCGGGGCTCTGTTGGTGGGAGATACCTGGTTGTGGAAGACCCCGCTAACAGACACCTTCCGAGGAAACATGCACTACACTTATGGGACTAATGACCTTAGCGGTTGACGCTCCCAGAATCACTAATCAGTCAAACAATCAGTCGTCTTCTAATGATGAAATTCAAATACTATAGGACTGGGATATAAGATATCCTAATCTTGCTTTCTACGGGTAAAATAGAAAACATAAATTCATTCTTTATTGCCAGTTGTGATTGATTGATGATTACGGGTGCGTCAACAGTTAAGATCATTAGTCCCGCAAGAATAGTGCTCGTTCTTTTGGCGGGGAGTAGCGGTGATCTTCCCTCAATGGATGGCGAAATCCGTCACCGACGTACTCATCGACTAGCGGGCTTTTCCCACCCAGCACTCCTCCCTCGACACAAGCTCCCGGCTGGTCTCCCGACATGAGTAGTGTATGTAAGCGTAAGTGTGTGTAAGTAAAGGATTAAGGAAAGATCGCGCGCGGTACGCTTTTTAGGACACTGTTCCGTCATTCGCCTGGTGTTTATCGTGAACCCACGGTAAACTACGGTTCAGAGCAGCTAGCCGCTAGAATTCTTCTCTACACAGCGACTGACTTCGGTCTGGCTGTGACATGTTGTGACGGACATGTTATGACGTTATCTTTTGCACTATTTATGTGGTTGTTCTCTCGGCGGTAATGGATGTATGTGTGGTGAGGCCGCGACTATGGGGTCCTCCCAGGTGATCGGGACCCAAACTCTTCCCACACCCTCTTCACCAGATACTTTGCCACGGTTATGGAAATCACCAGCGTTGTTCCGGCTCGACCCTCACCCCATCGCACGTTGAGAAAGGCAGAGCGAACTCGGCAGACATCCCGGCATTCGCCGGCATGGACCGTAGGCGCTTTATAAGAACGAGACGCTATCTCTGAAGCGTTGCTACTTTCCAACGTACAGAGAGCGCCTCTGACATGGCCTCTCGCCCACCCACAGCTTTCATGAGTTCGGATAGGGTTTGACCCTACCTGGAACCGCCTGTGGTAGTCCGCGTGCGACTCTCGTGCAGCCTCCATCTCCCGCCACCTGCATGCCTGCCTTCGCCGCCGCCATTGACAGAGCTCGTCTGTCGCGAGCCAGAGCGCGTCCGCCAGCGATGCCGCACGGGCGCCTTCTGGCTTGTCCTCCAATCGAATTTGCTTTGTGGCGCCCTAAGCGACAACCACCCGACTGCCTATACTTCCATTTATTATGAAGCTCTAAAGACAGACCATCAGCTGTTACGATGTCATCCAGTCTGCAGCTTACACGTAACTACACTGACGTCACTACGGGGTGTTCAACCTCCCGATTGGATAACACCCTAACAGCTGATTTACGTCAACTGCGTTTAAATCCAAATACAGTAATCCCTCAACATCCGCGTATTTCCTATTCGCGATTAGAGAAATGCTGCCGGATTTAACATTGGCATTACATTTCTTTCTTTCTCTCTCTCTCTCTCTCTCTCTCTCTCTCTCTCTCTCTCTCTCTTTCTTTCTTTCTTTCTTTCTTTCTTTTGAAAGCGAGCACATTTCGTTTCCTTTATCAGCGTCATCTGAGTAACAAAGTCGGCAGATAACGGAGCTCAAAGTATCTCGTTCTGCAAAAATGTCATAGTTGGAATGTCAATTCACAGTAATATAATAACACAATTGTAAAATAATCCAATTCATTAATTTCAAATAGGAGGCAAGGGTTTTGGCCACCTGAACAGAATAAAACATTCAGGATCTGTGCAACTCTCATTACAATAACCTCACTAAAGAGGAGTGCCACGAAATCAAGAAAAGAAATCCTCTTGTAATGTAATGACGAAGTAAAGGAAGCGAAACTACATCCTGGAGCAACTTCAATGTCAACACTGTTTATGGCGTTCTAAAACTTCAACAAGCTCTGGTGGAAATGGCATTCGAATGTGATCCGAATATATAAAGAACGGATAAGAATAAGAGCAACCTGCCTTCCAATTAGATATTAGAACAACGAGGGTGATGCAACAAAAAGTAATCAAATGCTATATCCAATCACTTTTAACATTGAAATAAGTTTAAATACTGTTTCATTTCTTCTCTTTGGAATGTTAGTTGTGAATTCTGTTTTAAGTACCTCTTACTCAATTCTACTGCGATTGATTGTCAGATATTTTTTCTTTATTTTTTAAACAGTATTTAGATATCCAGGCACCCTACACACTTTCTTCATTAAAATATAGACTCTACATACGTGTATTTGACATTCGCGATGCTTTTTGGAAACCTAACTCTCACGAATGTTGAGGGATTATTGCATACGTACCTGCCACCGCCGCTCCCCGCACGTATTCCCCCTCTCCTTCCTCACGACGACGGACTGAGCACCGAGCAGGGACCTCTGAAAGACCCTTCAACACTGAGAGGACTGAAGCAAAAGAAACTGCTCCGTCACCATCTTGTGGCCGGAATTTACTCTTGACCATCCCCTCCTATGTCGCTGGTCGCACAAATGCCATAATGCCCGTCCCATATATAATATCTCTCCCACCAACCATATGTCGTTACGGCATATGGCTGGTTTTTGCGCGCTCTGTCCGTAGCGTCCAGAGCCTTGGATGAACCAACCACCTGCCGAGGCTCACCTGGTCCACGGTGAGCGTCATACGCAGATTGAGGCTCACCAGCGAAGAGAAGCGCGGCACTAGCCCTAACAGGATGTTAGGGTTGATGTGCCGCAGATACGAGATATCGAGGCGTTTCAGGTTCTGCAACATCAAGGGAGAAGACGACTTTATTTTCACATATATGGAATGGAAACAAGAAGAACATAATATTTGTTACATGCATTACAAACTTTTGCAATATAAATCTAATTTTGAAATATAAATTTATATACGTATCAACGTCTTATGTATTAAATTAATATTAATTTCAATTATTTAATATTTGTTTATAATACAGCAAAAAACGGTTATGTTGCAGGAAAAAGCCATTACTTGACATTAGAATTTATGTATTGACTTCACATTTTCAGGGAAGTCAGGTAAAACTTTGAGATTTGTACACAAAAATCTATATGAATTGTTTGTCAAGAGCTGTTAGTTCGAATATCTGATGGATATTCTGCGTCAATTGTTACAATGTAAGTGTAGTCATGTAAGCTAAATCGAGTTAATGGAGGCTACGTCGCGAGCTACCTCGCTTCGAAGGATCGTGGGTTTGCGTTCTGGTCCCCTGTTGGGCATGGGGAACTGTGCTCTCTTCAGAATCATTACCCAATAAATTACCACTATTACTAACTACTGTAGTTATAATAAAGTAGGCTGATGTCATTGGCCTAATGAAGTACTGCGTAGCACCTGTCACATATGATTAGGAGGCAATGTGTGGGCATGAGGGTCACTTTAATGTGGTCCAAGTATCATAACACCTACCTGCATAACCTGAAAGGTAGTTTCGTCAGTACATAATTAGGGCAATATCACAAAAACTCCTTAATGAGACACTGGAAATCTTACAAAATAAACATAGAGGTTTGCAGAAACCAGGCGAAAGACATTTAATTATATTATGTAACAAATATATTACCAAAAAAATTCTTAATGTTTTTACCCAATTTCTTATATGAGCATGTGACTGTTGTAATGCAATAATAAAGAGGGAAAAGTTTGCGATCAGGATTTTTTTATAATGAACTTTTGACGAAAAAAACGTTTGTGTGTATGTACGTATTATTGATTGTTTACAGGAACGTCAACTTCTATGGCCATTAGTTGACCAGACTCGTTTTACCGTCAATCAATTTTTCGGTATCAAGTAAACATAAAAGAGTGATTATCACAACACAATGTGTAAAAGGAAGGAATTTACTATATACAGGAACAAGATTTATTCGCTTTTTCGTTACCAGGGTCCGTCAATAAGTGTTTTTCTGTCGAAAAGTCGCCGTTTTCTGGCGTACGATTAGAAAATCAAGGTGCGTACATCCGATCCGTTTTGCCCAGTTGGCTATTGTTTCTAGTTATTGGCTTACTATTGTTACAAGAGTGGACACTTCAGTGACCTACTTAACACGGCAGAGGTCATGCAGGACCTCTGACACTGAGAAATAATTCATTGTTGCCGCGCGAAAGAAATCTGTTGTTCCATACACGTTCCTCTAATATCTCTAGTTTTATTATTGTGTTATAAGCAATGACATTTTCGTAACGGGTTTTGAGGAACAAACGTTTTGCGAGTTGCTTACTGCGCTACAAGTATTTTTGCCAGATAATTTACAATAAAATCAAGTTTCAGCCATATCAATCGTATTCCTTTATTGTATTGTAGGTTTTAACTAACTGAGAAATATATTTTAATGGGATATATTTTAATATACTCTTAATATATTTTAATGGAATTGAATCTTTGTCACGAAGAGGATGCAAATGGAACATTAGATTTTTGGGACCGATATTGAAGTTCTTTGGTTTCACAGACTCAGGCCAAACATGCCCGGTGGAAATTCAGCGTGAACTCAGCCAGGTTGAAGTCTGTTTAGTTTTTCACTTGTGTACGAGTGGCGAAGCGGCAAAGTATTCAGCGACTATTAAGTTAAATGATGAAGGATTATAATCGTGGCAAAGACTCATTTCCATGAAAATATATTAAGAGTATATTAAAATATATTCCATTAAAATATATTTCTCGGTTAGTATTATTAAATACAATTGTATATGGGAATATTATTTAATTTGTATTAATGTTATATTTATAAATAATATTAAGTTACAAATAAAGCTCAGTTAGGCTTTTAGTATAGAAATTTGTTTTCGAAAATATTATAGAAGGCAGCACATTTTATTTTCTCGCACTTACTTTCTAAGAAGAGAGAGTATTGTAATGGTGCGCTGGAAAGCGCCAAATATTTGGCAAAAAAACTCTTATTGCCGAGCTTTGGTAACGAAAAAGTGGATAAATCCTGTTTCTATATATAGTAAAGTACTTCCTCTAACATGTGGTATAGCCAGAATCCATATTTTGTGGGTCATTGATATTGAACAATCGATTGACCGCAAGACTTCTGTCTGTCCGTCCGTCTGCGGTCCCATTTTAAGTGAACTCTCCGCAGCCTCGAAAAAAGTGCCTGTTGTAAATTTTGGTTGAGGCAATTCAATTTTTAAGCCGAGTTACGATCTCACGGCGCTTCTGTAGCGAAGTGGTATGGCTGAGTTAACTGATGAGAGGACCTGAGTTCGAGTCCCGGGATAGAAAATGCTTTGTGCTGATGGAAAACACTTTTGCTTTAAAAGGAATGAAATTCAGTAGTTCATGATCCTAAATTGGTTTTTCGGGCTGGATAGCGCTTTATTATGATTTCATATGTCTTTTCTTTTAATGAAATGAGAAGGTATTTCACTGCCTAGAAACTTCCTATAACTGCCAGGGTGGATCAGCGTCCTGCGAGTTTTCCGTCTCCCCAAACGGCGCGCAGTCGATGACACGCCGGCCACGCGACGTGCCGGGCCTCCAAGTGGGCTCATTGGGGAAGGAGCGGCGCCGCCAGATGAAAGTTTCATTGGAGAATTTACGAGCCGCGATTAGGAGGTGCCAGCGGGTGCAAAGAAGAGCGATGGGGCGCAGCGGGGGGGGGGGGCTGCGACGTACATGAGGCAGCTCCCAAAAACAAGTTTTGTTGATATTCTCTTCGAAATCCTGTGTCACAGTCAGGTTTCGAAACCAGTACAACAGAGTACAGATTATCTCCTTTTATTTGGAATGGTTGCGTAAAAGTAGCGGCGGCTTGTCTCTTCATGATTACGGGAGCGAAAAAACTGTACTAGTGAAATCCACAAAATTACTTATACTTCAGAAATTCAGGCGTTTGGTTTAATGCTTGATTTTTTTGATCTTGGTTGGTCCACAGACGAATTGGGCGACAACACTTCGCATCTTTTGTGAGGGGACATAGTGATGTATTTAAATGGAATCATGCCTCTATCTATATGCTTACAATGTAAGCCTTACATGATCTGCTCATTTTCACCGTTCGGATATTTCTTCATTTAGATAATACAAGTATAACTTTAATACATTTCTTATAACTTCGTTTCTGATAGGGTCTCTTCTTATCACACCTGCTACAGATCTTAGAAATCGTATTTCATCTGACTTTATTCTTTGCAGCCTCCGGATTTCAGAAAGTAAAGTAAATTGTAAGCATTGAATATAAAAAAAATATCGTAAAGGAAGTACCATCCAAAACAATCACGAGCCGCAACTCATCTACAGGCAGCCGTTTCTCGGTTTTCTTACAAATAATTTCCACGTATTACAAAAACTTGTAGCAATGACAAATTAAAAAAAAAAAATTTCAAGTGAGTCTGAATGTGTGGACGTGAGGCAACCTAAGGCTTCCACCAGCTTAGGCTGCTTAGGGCATCATTTCATGGCACTGCAAGACCTAGAGCTCGAGTCCAGCGGTGGCAGGGTTTTCGACACTGGCTACAGAGCTAAATCCAATTCAACCGCTGCCTCGAGAATCCTAACGCCAGCTGATGTGATCAGTAGGTTTGCGTGGCTTTTCCAATAAACACCAGGCGAATGCCGGAGCAGTACAGTAACAAATGGGCTGTGGACCGCACGCGATCTTTCCTTGCTCTTCTTTGTCCTGCCCTTGTTCCTTACTTTTACACACACACTTACATGCACTACACTACCACACACGTCGGGAGACCAGTCGGGAGCTTAGAGCGTGTAACAGTAGGGGTGGAGCCCTGCTGGTGGGAGATTCCTGGTTGGGGAAAACCCCGCGAGCAAACGTAGATTGGCGCCGGATCTCGCCATCCAGCGAGGGAAGATCACCGCCACCTCCCGCGATAAGAAACATGCACTACGCTAACGGACTAGTGACGTTAGCAGTTGGCGCGTTCGGAATCACTAATCGATCAATGAAGGTTTCCTCTCCTGGTGGCCAACTATGCTGACATGAATTGGTTTTAAGGGCAAGGCGCTAGAGAAGGGGAACGATTTGAACTCAAGGAACCAAAGGAGGAAGAGTTAGGAGCAAAGATGACGTCGAGTAGAACGAAGGGTAATACTCAATAAATGCATTGCCATTGTCCTAGAATCCACAATTTAAAAAATGTGCTCATTCATTTACAAAACTAGTGGTGCTGCAATGTCACATACTTTCTTGCATTATTTTGACGGCTCTGCAATAATATGAACCCGAAAAAACGTCTTCTACCTACGCGGAGACTCGAAATCAGGTTCACTTAGTTAACATGCCGTGCGCCTTAACGCTACACTACTACTAGGAAGCAAAGAAAAAAAACAAGATTTGCAATTTTGGAAAAAACCGGGGATTTCAACGAAAATAAGACCTGTGCAATTTTTAAAAAAAGTTTATTACGCTATCCAAGGACAAATTTTAAGAAACAAATTTGGTGCTATTTTTGAAAAAATATTGTTGAGGTCCTCATTTCAACTTTAAGTATCGCAAATATCCATTTCCTGCGGCCGATTACAATACAGTCCTTTCTTACGAAGAAACAATCCGAAGGGCTTGCATCTGAGACAGAGTCGCGCTCAGGGTTTTTCTAGGGGGGGGGTTACAGGTGTAAGTGTCTAGACGACTTGATGGTTTCTTACTACGCAGCCTTCCTTGGCACGCGCACCCGCGCGCAACGTGACCACGCGCAATCCATTACAGAGCGAAGGTGCGGGGGGGGGAAGGCAAATGCGAGGGCGGAGACGGCGGTCGGGGTCATAGGGCGGGGCGCTG